AATATTTTCCCCCAGTCTGTAGGTTCTCTTTTTACTTTTTTGGAAAAGTCTTTTGAAGCATATAAAAATTTAATTTTTAGAAGGTCCCAATCATCTTGTTTATCTTCTGCTATGTGTGTATTTTGGGTGACACTTGATAGTCTATTTATGCCATAAATTCATTGTTGTTATGTGCCATCGAGTCGGACCCAACTCTTAGCAACTCCTCCTTGGGTTTCTGAGGCAGTGTCACTACGGAAGTAGATTGCCCCATCTTCCTTCCAAGGAGTGGCTGGTGGGTTTGAGCCGCCAGCTTTCTGGTTAGCAGTCCGGTGCTCCCATGCCATAAATTAGGGCTACCAGAGCTCCCATGCCATAAATTAGGGCCCCTAAATTTATCCCTATTTTCTCCTTCAGGAACTTTATAGTTTTAGGTTTCACATTTAAGTCCTTGATCCATCTAGAGTTAGTTTTTGTGTATGATGTGAGGTATAGATTTTGTTTCATTTTTCTGTAGAAGGATAACCAGTTTTGCCAGCATCATTTGTTAAAGAGACTATCTCGTCCCCATTTAATGGATTTTGGCCCTCAGTCAAAGATCGCTGACCGTAGGTGGATGGATCTATTTCTGGGTTTTCAGTTCTATTCCACTGGTCTATGTGTCTGTCATTGTACCAATACCAGGCTCTTTAGACTACTGTGGCTGTATAGTAGGTTTTGAGATCTGGGAGCGTGAGACCTCCTACTTTGTTGTTCTTCTTCAGTAGTGCTTTGCTTATCTGAGGTTTATTTCCTTTCCATATAAAATTAGTGATTGATTTTTCCATATCCTTAAAGAATGTTGATGGAATCTGGATTGGGATGCACTGAATGAATAGATTGATTTGGGTAGTATTGGCATTGTCACAACGTTCAATCTTCCTATCCATGAACATGGTATGTTTGTTCTTCCATTTATGTAGATCTCTTATGGTTTCTTGAAGTTGTGTTTTGTAGTTCTTTGTACAGGTCTTTTGCGTCCCTGGTAAGACTTATTCTCAGGTATTTTATTTATTTATTTAGGTAGCTATTGTAAATGGTATTGATTTCCTTATTTCCTTTTCAGCAGTCTCTTTGCTTGACACCCATCTTTTAGATAATTTTACAATAACATCAGGAGCTCTGGTGCAGTAATAAGTATGGCATTTGGCTGCAAAGCAGAAGGTCAGCAGTTTAAACCCACCAGCTGCTCCATAGGAGGAAGAGGAGGCAATCTACTTCCTTGAAGATTTACAGCCTTGGAAACCCAAGGGGGGTCTCTATGAGTCAGAACTGATTGAATGGCAATTAGTTTTTTATCATAACATCAGCTCAAAAATCCAAGTCAAGCTTGTTAATCTTTAACTTAACACATTATGTCACTACATGAAAATTACAAGCACCTTCCTTGCTTTCACTGATGAAAATTAGCCTAGGATGTGCTCAAAGTAAATTTTTTTTTTCAGTTTCATGTCTTTTTACACTCAGCAGAGCAAGATAATAGCAGTCTGTCTTGACCCATGGAGACTCTCAACTAGGAAAGTATAACTTAGTTATCCTTAGTTTTAAGTTAAGTTAGTTTTAACTTGCTGAATGATCTCCCACATCTGGTGATAGAAACTACATGAATAATAGGAACTGCTCGGTGGCAGCCCTTGAAGGTGGTGTTCAGGGCACCCGTATCTGCCATACCTTAGATATGCCTCTGAGCAACCCCCCACCCCCTGCCATCGAGTCAATTCTGTCTCATAGAGACCCTTTAGGACAGAGTAGAACTGCCCATAGGGTTTCCAAAGCTATAAATTTTTATGGAGGCAGACTACTTCATCTTTCTCCCATGGCACGGCTGGTGGGTTTGAACCATTGACCTTTTAGTTAGCAGCCAAATGCTTTAACCACTATACCACCAGAGCTCCCTCTGAACAATAGCTATCCTATTTAGGAGCAAAGGTCATAAACTGTACCCCACTCCTCCTCCACCAGGTGAGAGGCCCTGCCTGTAAGGCTTGAGAAGCAGAAGCTGGCACTGTGCCTGGCAGAGGATGGTGAGCAATGATCTTGTTCCTGCCCTTGGCTAATTGGTGCTGTCTTGGGGTGGGAGAGGCGAGGGGCAGAGATAAATAAGACAGGATGAAGAATGAAAGCAGATTCCCAGAAACCCTTCATTTCCTACATCCCATTTTCCAGGTCCTGTCCTTTCCCACCTCTTCACTCCAAGGTTGCTGCCCCGAGGAGGGAGCCCTTAGGTGTGACAAATCCTGAAGCACAAAGGAGAGGAGTGAGGACTCAGGCACCCCAGGGAGAGCGCCTCTAGGATACATACAAGAGGATCAGTGACCTGAGATGCTGCTGCAAGAAGAGGAAAGACAGGTTCTCTCCGCAGACATGTAACTGCTGGTCTTATGGATAAGGCAGAGGGACTCTCGTATGACCTAGTCTCAGAACAGCCACTGAATGACCATCAAAACCTTGCAAAATCCTTCAATGCCCATTTTTGCAGCCCAGAGGCCATCTTTTCCACCAACACACTGATCAGTCTGATTTCCTCCACATTCCTTCTATTCACAGCCTTAAGGACTGGGGAAACTGAGGCACAAGAGAAGGGATGTTCTACTGTTTGAAAGGTTTGACTAAGATGAAATGACAGCCCTTTGACCTTGTCCCACAGCTACACTGGGGCCTCCAGGCTCTGCCCCAAAATGTGCCTTTATGTTTTCTGCCTGTGGTAGGTGAAGGAAGACTCTGTCTTCAGTGAATGAGGAACTAGGTACTGAATTACAAGATGTTAGTAAAAGAAATTGATCATAGCACAGGAATGCTAGGGACAATCAGGGGACCTAGGGACACACCCTGGCTTTTCTACCAACTAGATGTGTGACTGTGTGAAAGTGCCTTAACTTCCTTGGTTGAGTCACTTGTTACCACTGTAATGTAACTTAGGGGGACCCTATGTATCCAAGACCTTTCCCACTTTGAAAAGCCTATGAGATTAGCTCTCAGTTTGACACACATTCCCAGGTTTGTTCTTACCTTTCCAGTGAGGGGAACCTGGGCAGGTATGGCAAAGAGCTCTTCTTTGATGGCTGATTTAAGAGCAAGCACCTGATACAAGAAGAAAAGGACTTGCCCCTGGGTTTTCTCTTGGCGGCCAGGACACAAACCCAGTGCTCAGCCTGCTTGTGCCTCCAGCATCACCCATTTATCACCTATATACACAGGTGCACATTACATGTTTCCTCCCCTCATTTCTCTCCCTACCCTTGTGGTTCTTATAGGTCACTGCTCACTTTCCCCACCCTGGGTTTGCCCTAGCTCCCCCTCTGAGGGGAGCACCTTTCCCAACCCCCTCACAGGGCCAGGTGGCACTAAAGGAGAGAGGGGAGACAGTACAGAAGACATAAGTATTCCTGGGCCTCCAAGCTTCAGAACACACTCCTCACACAAACACCTAGGCTCCTCTAGAGAGGATTCTGTATCCCAGAGATGATGACCATGTGATTGCCGGAGTGCTTCAAGGAGTCAAGTGTTCGAATTCCTTCTTCCGCTCATTAACTCCTTTATACCCTTCCATTTCTCCTTCCTTTCCCTCTGTTTCTTCTACTCTTACTTTCTTTTGTCAGTTCCCCAGGATCTTCTTCTCCCTTTGTCTTTGTTAAAGATTCTCACTCTCCCTCTGAACCTTCTCTTTTACTCCTTCTGGACTTGAATCTTGAATCCTGGCTGAAGGGAGTTGAGGAAAGAATGTTCCTCGTGGCCTTAGCATCTTAGGCAACACTTCTGGGGTGCTCTCACCACAGGGCCCCCAACAGTCCCATAGGCATAGAGTGCTTGCTGGAGGATCTTCATTCCTTCTGGTATTTTGGGGGAAGACACGACATGCTGTGAAACCCTGGCCACCAACATGTGAAGTGTCCAAAGACCTACCACAGTAATGACGCTGATGAATACCTTGCAATGTGTATGAAACATTGTCACCAACACCAGCATTATCATCCCAATATCAAGGCCACAACTCCGTGAGTCAGGTGGGAAAGTAAAGCCTTCCTAAATTTGCAAGTGAGGATAGAACTTGGAAGAGTGAAAGTATTGCCTAAAACCACATCTAGATTGTCCTGGACTTAAGACTGGCACTTTCTACCACAAGTACTAAAAATCATTCTAACGTTTTAAAAGGATTACACATCTTTCATTTCATTTTATTCTCACAGTAGCCCTGTGATTTCCTTATTTCCTTTTCAGCCCTGTGAGGTGGATCGCAACATGTGGAGCAGATGCAAAAGTTCAGAGGGGACACGACTTGGGTAAAGCCACATAGCATACTCAGAGCCCGAACTCCGAATGGAAAGGGAGAGGGAGGCTCAACAGTCGCCAGCAGTGGGGGCTGCTGCCCAGAACTTCTCTGAGACACTTGGAGAAATCCAGGCCCCGCCCCCTGACCTTGTTCTGCGCGGGCCGGAAAAGTCGGGAGCTTTGGGGGAACAGCCTCAGCTGGTCCCTGGGACAGAGTCCCCATTTGGGTACACGCCCTGGGTGGGGTGGGGTTCCTTGGGAAGGTTGATGGCCTTGAACTCTGTGCTGGAGGGGCCTCGGGTGGGATGAGTCCCGGAGACTTGGAAGCCTTGGTCCGGGATGGATGAAACAAGGAACCCGAGGGACCGGGTGGGCAAACGAGAGCAGAATGAACTCCTTCCCCGCGGGGTCAGAGCCCTAGGAGTCTCTGGAAGGAATCTTTCCCAGTCCTGAAGCCTGGGAAGGCTGTAAAGCCCAGGAGCAAAGCAGCCCCTCCCGCCTCTTGGGGGGTGGGCAGAGACTGGCAGCGAGCGACCACTAGGGCTAAGCTTCCCAGCCATCTCAAGAGCAGCCGGGACCTTCCCGGGAAGGCAAGGGCCCTAGGAGGCCCGCGCTTTCTCTGAAAGTGAAAGGAGTGGGCGGGGGGCGCGGCCGAGGCGGGGCCCAGGCGGGCAAGCCACGCAGGCTCCGCCCCGGGGCAGTCTCCAGCCGGGGGCGCTGAGATTCTCCAGTCCCGGCCGCTCAGCGGGCTTGGTGGGCTCAGCTGCGGCGCCTAAGCCGGGAAATGACCCTGCCCGGGGGCCCGACGGGTATGGCGCGGCCCGGGGGCGCGGGACCTTGCAGCCCCGGGCTTGAGAGGTCACAGCGCCGGAGTGTCGGGGAGCTGCGCCTGCTCTTCGAGGCACGCTGTGCCGCGGCCGCTGTTGCAGCCGCCGCAGGGGAGCCCCGGGCCCGCGGGGCCAAGAGACGTGGGGGGCAGGTCCCCAACGGGCTTCCGCGGGCTTCCCCGGCCCCAGTGATCCCGCAACTGACTGTAACGGCTGAGGAACCGGACGTGCCGCCGGCCAGCCCCGGGCCTCCGGAACCAGAGGGCGGCATGCTCCCGACCGCGGGCTTGTCGCACCTGCAGCAGCCGCGCCGCCTTTCCACCTCGTCCCTCTCCTCCACTGGCTCCTCGTCGCTGCCCGAGGACTCGGAGGATGATCTGTTGAGCGACAGCGAGAGCCGGAGCCGCGGCAACGTGCAGCTGGAAGCGAGCGAGGACGCGGGTCAGGTACGGGCCGCGGAGGCGGGGCTGCGCGCGGGGGCTGCGCGCGGGTGACCCCTCATTGAGGGCTTGGACGACCTACTCCTGCTCCAGAGCCCTCGCGCCCAATCGCGGAGGGTGCGATTCTCACTGTGTAGAAAGAGAGTAGGGGTCGGAGGGAGGAGCCGGGTTTTCACCCCAACTCTGCAGGCAGGTCGTGGCCCTGGTCCTGGGGCGTCTAGGGACAGGAAGGAGTGAGCGATCGGTTGGGATCTGGCGGGGCTATGGGTAGCGTCCTTGCTGGTTGCGTGGTGGGGCTGAAAGGAACGGACGGGCTTGACCTTGCCCTGCGAACCCTTGGAGAGAGGGGCGAACCAGAGTCTCCCTCTCTTCCCGCCCCCTCTCGGGCGCCGCGGCCCCACCCCCGCCGTTGCCACGGTTTCCCTCTCCTGAGTGGGAGTGGAGCGGCGTTCCAGGCTCTGCTCGGGAGGCGCCACCGTCTGCTCCGAGCGCCTGCAAGAGGCGTGGAATCAGGGCAAGGAGAGGAGCAGGGCTGGGAGCTGGTGGGAGTGGAGCGCAGGACCGCCCTGTGCGCCTCCCAGTCTACCGGGTGAAGGTAAACTGAGGCTGACAGGATTGAGATCAGCCGGGATGTTCCGGCGCTGGATTTCATCCTTGGATAACCCGGGGCGGGGATGCGATGAAGTCCATCCCGGCGCACGCCCCTTCGAGGTGTGCGACACTCAGGACAGACGCCTTGTTTCCCTGGTTTTAACCAAAACCAAATACTTTAACTGTCCATGGTCAGCGCGAAGGAGTTGCTCCAGATCCCAGTTACGCAAGCGTCCCTGGAGCGAAGAGAAAGGAGATGAGCGCCACAGCGGCTCTAGTGGCTCCGGGCCTCCCCGGAATTCGGGTCGGGGCAATTGGGCCATGAGAGCCGCAAACGCGCGTGGAGGTTACCTGGACGCTGCGGGGACGGCGCTGGGGCGTGGCCTGGGCCTGATCGACTCCAGCTCAGCCGCACACTCGGATTGGACGAGGTGGGGAGACACTAACAGCTTGTAGTGTTTCTGTGACTCAGTTACCCCGATAATTACATTACCCAGAGGGCGGCAGTTTATAAATGACACAGGAGGAAAAAAAAAACAAAAACAGGACACCGCCCCTCCGCCCCGCCATATGTAGGGCGTGAGGGCTCAGTCACGAGCCGCCTCCCTCGCGTCTCCCTCTGCAGACAGGGGTACCCTCTGACCTGTGATTATTCGTAGGGGAATGAGTGCCGCCGAGGGTTTCCCCAGGCGGTGGAACGTGACTCAGTGAAAGGACCACTCCCACTCCACCTTGTCCAAAAAACCTCAGCAGCGGCTCAGCAGCTCAAATTCGTGACAGCCGAGAAGAAAGGGTGCGGGCGCCGAGGGCGCGGGCAACCCCAGCTTCCCTCTTCCGCCCGCAGAGACCTGGCGCACGGGAACCGGGAACCCAAGTGCCTGGGGGAGGGGCTGGGCCAGGCCGCGCCCAGAAGTCCCGCTACCCTTGCCTGTGTGCAGTGTGGGCAGCCCTGGCTAGGGTCGAGACTCCAGGGACCAGTCGCAGTCATGCCCTGGCGTCTTCAACCGGCCCTCTGGCCCTGGATCTCGTCTCCGGTAGCAGCCAGGAGCTACAGCAGATGGCCGAGGGCCCTTTGTAACTCCAGGGCTACGTTTCTCAGACCTTCCCAACCCCCAGCCCGCCGGGGCCTCCCCGAAGGCAAACAGCCACGGCGACAGCAGATAAGCCAAGGTTGACAGAGGCCGCCTGTGGCCTGGGAAGGGCCCCGCACGGACTTTGCCTCGCAGCAGGCCCAGGACCAACGGAGCGTTCCCGCCCAGGTCGCCCATAGGGCTTCCCCAGTCAAGAAGCAGAGCCCATCCTGCTGACCAGGAAGGATGCGCTTGGGAAGAGGGCAGGTGCTGAGGCAGCGCTGAGGGTTGGAGAGGTGGCTCCCATCTCCGGGCGGGAGGAGGGAGGGGGCTTGCAGTAGTCCACCCTACAGGAAACAAGGATAGCCCAGAGCAGATAGAGGCCCGGGAAGGCCCTGCCAGCTTTTGCAAGGCCCATACATCCTTCTCCTTCGCCTCCTAAGGACCCCCCCCCCCCAAACCCTGCTCAAAACCCCCCCCCTGGGCCTTTCCTCTGGGGGGGGGAAAAGCCACAGACATGGAGACCCAGACAGGCCAAGAAAGGAGTTGAAGGCCCATCCCCAAAAGCAGTGATCATGACTCTATTGTTAGGTCTTGCCTGCCTCCTAAAACAATTTTGGGGTGTTGCTCTAGTAGAAGAATGGGCCTTTGCCTCCTCATCACCTGCTGTCTTCCTTTAGTGCTCCAGGATAGATAAGGAGACCTGGATGCCATACCATCCTGCACTCAGAATTCCCACACGTCACTTTCCACTAATTATAGAGCATAATTTAGGTTAACAGACTTCCTTTTTAAAAAGTAAATGCCCTTGGGAAGATGGGTCACTTATACCTTAGTGAAAATCATTTTATAAATTTAAACTGATTGCTTTGCTCCCCACCTCTGGAACATAGGGAGAGGGTTGGGTTGATAGGGAGCATCAACTAGAGACTGGGTGGCTGGAGGCAAGGAGTGGGGCTTAGGAAGTAGGAGGATAAATAGGAAGTAGGAGCAAAGGGTCTGCTCTGACAGGAGATATTTTGAGTACCTTGTGTGATTTAAGAAGTAGGAGACCTCGAGGCTTCAGAATGGAGCTTAGGCAAAGAAGGGTCAGGGAAAGGAAAGTGTCCAAAGAGCCCTACCCTGGGAGAGGTGCTCCTTGTACAGCCCAAGGGGTGAGGAATTAAAGAGGCCTCCTGTGACTTCATCAAAGACGCTTCCACATAGTCAGCTTTCTTGGCTTTTGCCTCTGGCTTCCCAGGCAGAGCACTTTTTTGGAGCAGTAGGTTGGGCCAGGTGATGGGGCTTTGGCTCCTTTGATTTCACACTGTACCATAATAAATCTGCTTTCTGATATTCAAACAATAAAAACGTCACCTGCTCAAAAATATCTTCCCTGCTGTTGTTCATGTGCCAAAATCCACACCCACCAAAGAATGATTCTCCAGGAGCCTTTTTGGATACATGTGTTTTGATATGCATTATGTTCCCTGGGGGAATGTAGCTCCCTAATGAGAAAGATGGCAGTGAATTCCACAGCACTTGTCTTACTTCCTTCCAGGTTTGACCATGTCCATTACTGCCAGGCGAACTAACTCCTATCATACCAACCTCAGGAGGACCTGGGAGGGCTCAGATGAGATCATGGGTGTGAAAGTCCTCTATGACCTATACGGCTGGAACCAGCCTTGGCTGCTGCTGCTCTTGGCTCATATGATCCTCATGAAACCAGAGTGAGAGAGTAGGTGATGGCCCCATTTTACCTCCACTTGGGAGCAAGCTGATGCTGTGTTATCACACATCAAGAAGTGGCCCAGGTTTTCAGACATCATATCAAATCCTCTTCCACCAGGCCCACCTTTTCCAGCCCCTCATTTTCCCCACATGATCGCATAAAGATGGTTGATGTAGTTCCCTCATCCTGGGCTGGATACCTCTTCCAATAGGGTGGCTACAGAACTAGATCTACTCTCTGAATGAGTTCATTCTGGTCCCACTGTCCTGTAAATTCTGCCAGTAGTCCCCTAAAGCTGCCTGAAGCCCGTACCATTAAACCCATTATTTTGGATGAAAGCAAAGGCATCCAGCCAATAGAGAGAGGTCCCCTAGCATATATCAGTGTTTCCTCAGAGATCAAAATACGCACACCACATTACAACTGCAAATTATTTCACTTTATACAAAGCTTGTTCTTATATGGTATCCCATTTGAACCCCAAAGGGAGGCAGTATGGTAGCATGAACTTTGGAGCCTGGTGGCCCTGGGCTAATTAACTCCTCTGAGCCTTGGTTTCCTTCTGTAAAATGGGAAAAATAATACCACCTCATACCTTGGTATATACATGCATATCATCATCACCATGATTTTCAGAGTGTGAGAGAAGGGGTCTAGGATGGCGCCACTGAATGCACATGGCATGTACATCTTACTGGAATTTTCCTTGACGTTTTGGAGGTGGGGGAGTTTTATTATAAAACTTGGATTTATTATGCAGCAGAATGCAAAACTTATATGTATTTAAAGATTTTAAAAAGGAATTTTGAAAGAGATGTCAGGCTTCTGGTGGGCTGCTTCTGGCTACACCCCCAGATCCCTGGAGATTGGACATGTGATCACATTCTAGCGTGCCATATAAGGACTTCAATAGGAAAGGGGAACAGTGCTGCCTGATGGGGTATGAGAAAGGGCCTGGCATGCAGTAGGCGGTCAGTAAATGGTGGCTCACATAATGGCAGCGGCTGGGTGGCTGGAGGCAGGGAGGAAACAGGCCCACACAGATGACAGTACGTGCTTGGGTTCACTAAGCTAGAAAGTGACCGAGCCGGGACTGAAACCAACTCCAGACTCTTTATTCAAGGCTCTGTTGCTAACTCTGCCTCCTCCCTATGGGAAGGGGCTTTGTAGTCAGTCGCCTAGGCCCTAGGCTGCCTCCCCAGTTCTCTCTCTCCATTTTAGAATTCCCTTTTCAGGGAAAAGGCAGGCATCCTTGGAAGGAAGCAGCAGACACACAATTTACATGAGCAAACCTGTGCACTTTATAGATATGGACACAAGACTAATGAGTTTTGAGTGAGAAGAAGAAAGGTCAGAGTATAAGATGCTGCCAGAGGTAGATGGAGTCTAGAAGCAATAGTTATGAGGCAAGGGATATACCAAAATCTGTATTTGCCTCCCAGCCTTGTCCAAGATGACAGGCCCTCAGCTTTGCAGCCCATTTTCAGAGGTCAAGTTTCTGGGACCAGATCAAGACTAAAGGTGCTCTGGGCCTTGACAAGTTATAGGGAGTGCATTGCATTCAGGGATAGCAAGAAGGTCTTGGTGAGCCCAAAACCATTTTTCCTCCAGGCCCTCCTAGGCTGGTCTCTCTGTCCTGGGCTTTTGTAAAAGTTTGTCTTCTGTTTGTCTGTCTCCCTAAATGAGAGAAACTGATGGTTCCAAGTGAAAGAATCAATGATACAGATTTATCCAGCTTCTGCTTCATGCCAAGGAATTGAGAGGAGGGTAGCCTGTCACACTCAAGACTCGTTTACTATTCACAATAACCCAGAAAGTGATTATTTCTCCATTTTACAGAAAAGAAACTGATGCTCAGAGGCTTTTCAGTGTGATCTGGGACTCCGGGGGCCCTAGAATCTTCTAAGGCTTTAGTAGAAATGCAAATGCTTGGCCTCACGTCAGACCTCCTCAATCTGAATTTCCTTATGATACACCTGAGGATCTGCATTTTGTAGCAAGGATGATTCTGATGTTCACAAAAGTTCGATAACCTCGGCTGAGCAGTTTGGATAACCTGCCCCCATAATTTTTGAGCCACAGAACTGGAGTGCCAACGTGAGAGTTCTGATTCTAAGGCCAAGGCTCTTTTCAGCACATTCCAGAAGCTGAATATCTATCACCTTCCTGTGCCCGGCTCAGTGTCGATCACACAGGCGCACCATAAACTTCCTTGGAATTAATGAATAAATGAATCATCCCGCCCCAGCTGCTTCCGGTGGGCAGGGGGCAAGGTGGGGCGAGACCCTTCACTGGAGCTGAGAGCTGAGACTCGACTTTGAGATGCGGGCCCGTGTCGCTTTCAGAAAAGCCACTGGCAGAAGATCCGGACCATGGTGAATCTGCCTGTCATGAGCCCTTTCAAGAAGCGCTACTCGTGGGTGCAGCTGGCGGGGCACACAGGTAAGCATAGGGCCTGGTAGATGAGGAGGGTGCCAGGGCTGAAGGAGGCTGGATAGCGCTCGAGATTGCCTGTCCGCAGGAAGTTTCAAGGCGGCGGGCGCCAATGGGCTGATTCTGAAGCGCAGCTCAGAGCCGGAACGCTCCTGCCTAGCGCGGCTAATGGCCGATGCGCTGCGCGGCTGCGTGCCCGCCTTCCACGGTGTGGTGGAGCGCGACGGCGAGAGCTACCTGCAGTTGCAAGACCTGCTCGACGGCTTCGACGGGCCCTGCGTGCTCGACTGCAAGATGGGAGTCAGGTACGAGTGCGCCGTCGGGTCGGGCGGGGACGCAGGCAGGCGGTGTAAGGGTGTCCGTGTGCGCCCCGTTTGCCCAGCTGCCTCCTTCGCCTCCTCAGGACTTACTTGGAGGATGAGCTGACCAAGGCTCGAGAGCGACCCAAGCTGCGGAAGGATATGTACAAGAAGATGCTGGCTGTAGACCCCTCGGCGCCCACGGAGGAGGAGCATGCACAGCGCGCAGTCACCAAACCGCGCTACATGCAGTGGCGAGAAGGTATCAGCTCCAGCACCACGCTTGGCTTCCGCATCGAGGGCATCAAGGTGAGCCCGCCCCGCTTTCTTGTGCACCGCCCCGCCCCTACGCGCAGCGCCCCGCCCCTCTCTCCGTCTCCTCAAGGACCCACCCTCTGGGGCAGTCCTCTCGCTGATCCCGCACCTGTGTCCCGAGCGGTGCCGCGCTGACTTAGCCTGATCTCTCCTGGAGCGAAGCTGGACCCCAGACACTTCCCGCCCCACCCCCCTGTAGAAAGCTGACGGCTCCTGCAGCACTGACTTCAAGACTACGAGAAGCCGGGAACAGGTGATTCGCGTCTTCGAAGAGTTTGTGCAAGGAGACACGGAAGTACTGGTAAGCGCTGGATTCCAGAATCCTAGGGTGTTAGGGAAGGAGCTCTGGTAGCATAGTGGCTAAGACACTTGCCTGCTAACCAGACGGCTGGCGGTTCAAACCCACCAGCCACTCCTTGGAAGGAAGGTTGGGCTATCCTACTTCCGTAGTGATACTGCCTCGGAAACCCAAGGAGGGGTCGCTATGAGTCGGGGCCGACTCGACGGCACACAACTACTACTAGGGTGTTAGGGAGCCTGAAACTGAGGTGTGCCCTGAGGTCATCCGGTCTAGTGCCCTATATGCCCCCACCCCCACGTAGCACTTAATCGCACTATGTTGGCATTACTTTATGGTTCTGACCTTTCCGGACTGTGCGCCACCTGGGGGACTTCCTCACTATGGTATTTACCAAGCCGAGAAAGGGTTAAATTAGCGTTTATTTACTTTGCCCTCCACTTTTACCGTATCCTCCCCAGAGGAGGTATCTGAATCGCCTGCAGCAGATCCGGGACACCCTGGAGGTCTCTGAATTCTTCAGGAGGCATGAGGTAAGAGGCCACTAGGCTGAACGCGAATTGGGTGGGAGCTGCTCTGGGAAAGGCCCGTAGTCTGACAGTGTAGAGCCCGGCAGGTGATCGGAAGCTCTCTGCTCTTCGTGCATGACCACTGCCATCGCGCCGGTGTGTGGCTCATCGACTTCGGCAAGACCACGCCCCTCCCAGACGGCCAGACGCTAGATCACAGGCTGCCCTGGGAGGAGGGCAACCGCGAGGACGGCTATTTGCTGGGGTTGGACAATCTCATTGGCATCCTGGCCAGCCTGGCCGAGAGATGAGGCAGGGCCTCTGTCTTTGCTCTGGTCAGTAGTCAGACCAAAGGACCTGCGGCTTCATCCAGACGACACGCCAGGGGAGAGATGAGAGCTCCCCCGCCTCCCCCCTCCCCTCACTGCCAGGTGGGGTAGTTCATATGGTCCTGCAGGGCCAGGTGACAACACGGGGCACTCTGCAGATGAAGGAAGGTTGGGGGGGGGGTTGCTGGCACGCACAGGAAGCCCACCGTTCACAGAGCCAAATGACACTAATTTGCAGGGAAGGGAGGCAGTGGGCTACTTCCTCAGTGTGGCTCTTCTGAGGGGCCTGTCCACCTCTCCAAGGAGACCACGTCATCAGTTGTACTTCGCAGGCACTGCTAGGCCAATAGGTCCAGCCTCTTACACTACAATGGACTCTCCTCCCCAATAAAATTCAAAGACTCCAGCTTTTGTGATGAAAGCCTCATTCCCAGGCCTCATCCCCTTCCTCTCTTGCTCTCTCTTCCTCATTCCCAGCATTTCTCACATTTGCTCAGATCACTAGAAAATGTGAGGATAAAAGATTTTTATTAGATGCATTTGCAGGGGCAGGGGCAGCCCAGGGGAAGGATGCTGATGGAGGTGGGCAACCCAGAGAAGGCTTCCTTCAAGAGGCAGTTGCAATTCTGCACTGATACCTTTGGGAGGAGTCTTTGGCTCCAGAGATCAAAGACTGGGAGTGTCTAGTCCCTTTTCCACAGGGTCTAGGACTGGTTTCCAAGATGGAGGGTCCCATGCTACTAGGCCAGCCCTGTGACATGCCAGGGCACACACCACAGACTGCTGGGGGGTGGGGGGGGCAAGAGGCTGCTGGAATAACAATCCACCTAGAAGACTGGGGAGGAGTGCAGGGTGGAGCAGAGCCATTGCTATGCCTGAGTCCTCACCCTTAATGCCTCTTGGGGCCCAGGAGCCATAGGTAGGATTCCAAAGGTTCTGAGATGGAAGGCTCCTGGATTTGGGGGGCTTTAGGTCAGAGGGCAGCCAGGGGCCAAGGGTACTCTCTCCCCAGCTCTTCAAGTTCTCCAGACTCAGTTCTTGGTGTTGTAGGGATCTTAGGTCCTCTAGAAAGACCTGTTCCCTGGCCCAGAAGCCCCTTCCTCCAGGGTGGGCCCAGCTCCATTGTCAGGGGTGAATTCAGCACATTGGGGTCCTACAATAGGAGAGTGAGAAAGAGGGAGTCAGAGAGTTGCTTTATGGCTTTCCTCCTAATCCTCCAAACCAGGATGGTCAGAGTGGTTGGGGGGTACACCTGGGTGTAGTATTGAAGATGGTCCAATATGCTGGCAAAGTTGGGCTGGTGCTGCCAACATTGGGTCGTGATACAGTACCTGGGGAGAAGCAGAAATCTGTGTCCACCCAGGGTCATGAAGACCACCTTTCCCTGGGCTGCACCCTACCCTTACATAGGTCCTGGACAGCCCCTGGGAGGGTCCACCTGGCTTCCTCTGACAACAAAGTCCAGTATCTCCTGGTTGGAGTGGCCAGGCTAGGGCATGTAGCCCAGTGAGAAGATCTTCCAGAGAAACACCCCAAAGGACCTGCATCATGAGTGGAGAGGGATCCAAATGAGGTTCATCAGGCATAGGATACCCTGCCCTCACATGAGGTGGCCCAGAAAGGATAGGACTAATCCCAAGGCAGGAAAAGGGTGAGGGGAATGTCATCACCAGGAGTCTGTCTTGGATGAGAAGATGCCCTCCAGGAAGGCCTCTGGGGCCATCCTCTTTGCCAGCAGCAACACCTGGCCCCCCTTGCAGTAACTCTGATGGCGTAGTGCCTAAGGCATTTGACTGCTAACCAGAGGGCTGGTGGTTCAAACCTACCAGCCACTCCTTGGAAGGAATAATCTACTGCCATAGTGATACCACCTAGAAAACCCAAGGAGGGGTCACTATGAGTCAGATCCAACTGGACAGCAGTGTTTGGTTTTGGAATAAGAGGGAGGAGAGGAATGATGAGTGGCTCAAATAACACCAACGTGCTGGTAAACCCCCTTGCAGCAGCAGCCTCCCTAGGCTCCTGCACTGTTAGATATCTTCTGCCATCCCAGAGTCCCTGATCTTGGCTTGTCACCTAGGCCCACTATAGCTCTGCAGGCAATTCTGGGCAGCAATGTTCCTACAGAGTAAGGCAAAAAAATCACTCCCAGAACTCAGAAACTCTGATCCTTTCTCATCTGTTTCCTTACAAGTTGGGAGAAAGGGCTGTTGCCTTGGGAGGGAGTTGGGCAGGGGTGCGCCCCCCAAACTCCCAACCTATAAATGAAGTGATTTTCTTCCAGGTAATGTCAGCCTTGGGCAATGTCCTGGGCCAGCTGCAGCAGGCCCTGTATGGCCAGAGGTGATGGCTGGCCCTGGCCAGGCAGAGGGTACATTAGTCCATGCAGGACTCAGGACATATGTTTAGGATCTTTAGAGGGACCTGGAGGGTCTCATCAGGTGCAGTCAGCTGTGCCTCAGGAAATTCTTCATGTCCCCACTAAACATCAGCTCCAGCAGGATGAGATGAGGGGCAGCCCAGAGGCTAAGCCCCACACACGGCACAATGTTCTGATGGCTGAGCTTGCTGAGTGGGTGGTGCACATACTCCATCACTGGCAGGGATATTAAACTATGTTCTAGGCTCGACTCGACTGGAGAGGACCTCTATGTCCCTAAACTTGCCACCTCTCAGCCCCAGGGTGAAGAGAGGCTGTTCCTGCAGACAGTTCTGGGTGCCTCCCTCCCACCTTTCACCCTGCCCCCTGGCTCCAGGTGAACCTGATGTTGAGAGCCTCCATGAGGAAACCCAGCTCATCTTGATGAGAACAGAGTTCTGCCAGGGTCTGGGGAGGCAAAGAACACAGAATTCCTGAGCTCCTTGGACATGTGAGGAGGGCATGCTAACCCTAGCTCCAATAATCTGGTTTCTCCCCCCATAGTGTTCTGCTCCTCTACTCCCAGCTGGAAGTCCAACCACCAGTCCCTTGTACACCTCCCCAAAGACACCATGGCCCAGGATTCTGCAGAGAGACAAGTTGGAAGGGAATGGGAGGTTGGGCCTGTGGAAGGGTCCTAGAGATTCTTGTATTCACTTTACCCCCCCCCCCCCTGCTCCCTATACACCCAGCTGGCCCTCTGAGGGATCTCAACTCTTTTTGCATCATGGCACATCTCCAGATAAAAGCTCTGTAGGAAGATCAGTGTTGACTGGGACATAGCCAGGGCAAAAGAGAGGGTAGGTGTGGGGTCAAGACAGAGGCGGAAGTCTGTGATGGGGCCTTCCTTTACAGTCTTGCAGAGACTCTAGCACAGAGGCAAGCCTAAGGTTCTGAAAGAGTTATATCACAGGGTCCCTGCCATCCCAGAATTGAGCAGTCAAGGCTTTGAGAGGAGAAAGAGGTTGGCTAGGGTAAATGAAACAATTTTGCAAGTGTTGAAGAAGAGACCTTGACTTTGCTTCAACTTGTGGCATGACCTTGGACAAGATGGTTCTCCTCTTTGAGCTTCTCTAGGCCTACATCTCCTCTACATAAGGGCTTAAAGCCTGGTGCTCTCTCAGATCCATGATCCATGAGGATTCAGAGTGGATGCATTCTCAGAAGGAGATGGAGGACTCACCCGAGCAAAGTGACATTGGTTGGGGAAACCTCAGTGAGCCCTGGGGGCAGAGGCCAGGACTGGGCCCAGCAACACCCCACCTGGCAGTAGCAGGCTAAGGTATGAAGCTCGTACAGGTCAAGTTCAAGGCCTGGCAGCCTCATTCTCCGTGGCCTTGACACTTCTGGTTAACTACAGGAGGGGGGAGCAACGTCTACCTGCTCATCAGGCCTACCCTGCTTCCCAATGCCCAGGTCACACTCCAGATACCCATTAAGACAAATGTTCCCAGGCCTCCTAGCTGCTTCTAAGGACTCCAGAGCAGCTTATCACAACTCAGCAAGGGAGGAATATCCTTAAGTCAGCCATGGTAGTCTCTGAGAGCCCAGAGGAGTCTATCACTGTTTTTCTAGGAATAGTGGTCTTGTTTGCCCCTGATACTGCACAGGAGCTCAGTGGGTAGGGGGAGTAACATTGAATCAGTCATGCCTGCTGGATACCCCATACCTAGAATCAGGACCCTACACACCATAAGGAAGCTCAGTATCAAGGCTGCCACCACAGCCATCATCAGACCCAGAGGACCTAGAGGAGTAGGCAGATCTAGGGAGAAAGAGAGACACCTCTAGTGGAAAGCTGTTCTGTCCTACCTGCAAGTTTACCCATTCTTCAAGACTCAGCTTAAATGTTAACTTTTCCATGATGCTTTCCTCAATTAACCTAGACAAAAGCAGTCCTCCTGCAAACCTCTAAAACACATTCCATCTTACATGGCAACTGTCACTTTGAAATCTATCTATCTATCTCACCTCCCACACTGCACTAATTGCTCCTTAAAGGCAGAGAAGGCATTGATGTGTCTCCAATTCCCTGCCCAGCCCCTAGAATGGTGCCTGGCACATAGTGGACTTCTACACCATCTTTCCCAAAACCCTACTACTCCTCCTCACCCTACCCCCACCCTAGGAGTCAAGACCTTGGGCAAAGGCAGGACATACCTGTGCAGGTAATATTATCTGAAGCTAGTTCCATGCCCTCTAGGCACATGCACACAGGCCAACTGGAGTTCTGCCTGCCATTGGCAGTCCTTTAGAGGGCAGTCACTGCAATTGAAGTGCAATCCAATCTCTACCTCTCCATGGCCATGGGGGAAAAGTTAGGGTAGGGGCGGCACAGATATCTTTTCTAGCCACCTGGTTAATTCTAGCCCAGGTCTTTGGAGCTGGAGGAGCAGAGCCAGGAGTTTAAGGGTGAGTGGGAGGGCTGGAGGGCCTTCTGTCCAGTCTATATACGCCTCTTCTGGGAACCATGAGCTTACAGGTATTTGAGAATTCATGGCAAGAGGTTACTTGACTAGTAGTGCCAAATGTCTCATACTGATATCACAACTGACACCCAGTTCCCAAGTGTTCCTGTTGTACAAGAACTGGATACTACACGGTGCAGAGCTGTTGGCCCAGATAGGAGTGAGCTCAAGGACTGTGGAAAAGGGCCAAGCCAGGCTGAGAGATGGTGGGTAGGGGCCCATACCTGCCAGAAGTATGGGTGTATGAAAGAGATGCCATCTTTCCCATTGGTCCAGGGGATGTCAGTCTCTGAGGCATCACCCCCTTAAAAACTGTAGGGTTAGAGGATTTGGGTACAAAATGGGGAGTTGGGGTAGGGGTCTATAGCTGCCTCACAGCTATGAAGCTGGCTTATGAACAGCAGAGAAACTGGAGTCTCCCTGGAAATCCCAGTGTGGCCCTTCTTTACTCTAGCTTTGCTATCACTGTGGGAGCTGAGGGACCAGAAAGGTGTTGGTGAAGGAAGTAATCAGCTGGAACCTGAAATGCTGACTCAGGCCAGCTAGGCCACCTATATCAGCCCTGTGGTTGATATCCTCAGCTATAAGATAGGAAAGGCCCAACCCATACATTCTATTGCTTTAAGAACTGAAATGAAGTGTGTAAATTACTTGTGAAGAGTACAGCCCAGACAGATGCAAAGGCTCTGGGGTACAAATGCGGTAGCTCCCCTAGAGTTTCTCATTAAATAGGTTGTGGAGGGGCCCAAGCATGTGCATTCCTAACTGTTTATCAGGTTATGCTGACCCTGCTGATTCAGGGACCATACTTTTGAGAACTACTGATTTAAACCATCCCTGCCTTTCTGGCTCCCTGGCTCAGCTTGCTAACTCAGCCAGTTCTAATTTCCTAGGACTGTTGTGGAACAAGGAGGGGAACTGTTGTGATGTCCTAGACTTAAATGAAAATCTGTGGAGTCCTGTATGCATATGTGATTTGCAGCTGAATTGACCTCCTTTTCCAAACACTATTATTAGTCTATCTGGAATCCCTAGGTGGCACAAATGGTTAAGTTCCGACTACTAGCCAAATGGTTGACAAATCCACCCAGAAGCAACTTGGAAGACAGGCCTGGCGATCAGTTTCCAAAAAAGTCCTTATGGAGCAGTTCTGCTTTGCATACACATGGAGTTGCCATGAGTCGTCATGGACTCTATGGCAACTAACTAACTAAAAATCACTCTGTCTGCTTTGGCTTGGAGCGGGGCTCAGCAGCTGTTTTTCTGAGGGACTTGAAACTGTTCTAAGGCTCTACACTTCACCCTCAGGGCTGCCCAGCCACTCTCCCAAGGGCGCCCCTACTCTTGTAACCGCCTCCGCTGACAATGCAGTCCCACCGTCGTCCCAGCCCAGCGTAACCCAGGCCTCCGCTCAGCTCTGGCCGCCCTCCGCTCCCTCTTGCAGTGAACAGGCCGCCTGCTGTGAGGGGTCTGGTGACGTTCAGCCGCCCTCTCCACATGCAGAGCGAAGCACGATGGCGAGTAGGCAGGCTGGAGCGCACACTTCTACCCCGCAGCCCTTGTCTTCCCCGGCTGTCCCACCTCTCCCGCTGCTCCCGGGCGCCCCCGAGCGGACCTCCAGTTTCAGGTTCTCAGCCGCTTCAGGTTCTCAGGTCGGCCCGACCGCCGCCACAGGCCGCCACCGGCAAAGGCTCCAGCTCGCCGGCATTCAACTGTGGCGCCGCCGGCGTGCTCAGGGGCACGTCCTCCAGCCGCCGAATGATGGCCGGGGTACCGAGCGAGGGCTCCTCACTCCGGGACCAGGGTAAGCGTAGGCTCCAAGCCCGACCCTGGGCTAGAGTAACGCCAAGAACCTTAAGTGGAGCATGTGCACCTGGGAAGAGGCTTGGGACCCCGCTGATGAGCGTTGGGGGTGAGGGCAAACAGCAGCAAAGGGGAGCACATAATCAGAAGATGTAAGTGGCGCCCCCGCCACCCCTGTCGCCCCCGGCCCACCTCCACGACCCCCGGATCCCTTCAATCACATTGGTCGCCTCGTGCTCCCTAGTGGCGCGAGACTCTCCGAGACAATTGAACTGGCTCCCGTGCCGGCAGAGGGCGCCAGAATCCGCCGGGCTCGGATCCTCCGCTCCCAGTGCCGGGGGCAGAACGCCGACTATCCCCTCCCATCCTCACCTCAGTCCTCACTCCCGGGCTCTGGAACCTCTTCCTTATCACTGACTCCGCTTAGTCCAGAACAGTTGTCCACTCCCTAATGCCCCACAAGTTTGTAAAACAGCTCGCCGCGACCGAGGGAGAAGACTACGGGACGCCACGAGCCCGCAACGGGTGGTTTTGGCGCCTTTGCCACCCGCGGCTCCGTATTCTGAAATCCTTCAGGAAGCGGGCGCTGAGTCCACCGCCCTCTGTCCTCGGGCCGCCCATCCCGGGCCGAGGTGGCCTACAGAGGCATTTCCAAAATTTCTCATCTCAGAGGGCTTAAACAACTCACTGCCGTGGAGTGGGATCCGACTCACAGCGACCCCTCCTTGGGTTTCCAAGGCTCTATCTCTATGGAAGTAGATTGCCTAACCTTCCTTCCGAGGAGTGGTTCACTTCTGGTTAGCAGTCAAATGCCTTAGGGCACTAGGCCACCAGAGCCGCAATCAATTTTGATGAGTTAGGAAGAGGCACCAAATAGGTAGATTTACCCACCGAAATCGTAACATACTAATCATTATATTATACACTTATTTTGAGGCTTAACGGAGATGGGAGAAAGTTCAAGCCACTCATTGGCACCGCCTCTTTTTAGGGGCAACACAGTTGGGCGGGAACAGACCCCAGGTACGGACTAACTAGGCGGCGACTATTGCCATCCTTCCTTGGGTTCCGCTGGAAGGAGAGGCAGGCAAGGTCTGTCGCTGCGGAATGCCTGGCGATGCAGAGGGGGGCGCACGTGGTCCGCTGTTTTCCGGGCGGTAAAACAGTAGACTCGCAGGTCACCCCACACCCGCCCCTACATCCCTCCCCGCACTCGCTGGTACTGGCCGGGTCTGGGCGCTCGCCACCACTGCACGCCTCTCGACCCCCGGCGGCCCCCTGGTCACCACCTCGCTGCTGCCCGCGTGCGCCCCGTCGCATTGGTTTGTGTGGGCCCGCGCCGGCCGCTGGCCCAGCAGGAGGAAAACAGCCAGGGGCCCTCGGTTCCAGGAAGCCTGGAGGGAGGAAAGGGGAGTGGAGCTCAGTCTCCAGGCCCAGCTCTCACCCCTAACCTGGCCTAGGGGTCCGAGCCTAGTGAGCGTAGGAGGAGAGAGACGGCTGGAGCCAACCTGGGGGACTGAGGGAGAGGCTTGCTCCGCGCCACGAGGCGGGGCGAGAACGTCCAGACCCCGGGGGCTTGGAGCTGGCAGCGCCAGGGTGGATAGAGGATGGAACAAAAGGCTCCTGGGATCCTTAGCTGGAGCAGAGAAAGAATGGCGTCTGAGCCTGACAAGAGAGATAGCCGGGAAAGAAATGGAGCAGGATGTACATGGGGGACCAGAGATGTTCATTCTCTCTCCCTCTCCTTTCCCCCAACCCCGTCCTCTCGCCAGCCGGGATGCTCACTGCCACGGCCCTATCTCCACCCAGCCAGTGCATGCATACCCGCGTCCTCGACCCGACTCCCCGCAGGGTGCCTGCTGATACCACTGCTAGCTTCTCCCCCTAGAGAATGCTTCCGAATGAAAGACATGGGGACTACACTGAGCTCGGTTCTGCAGGCCCCCCATCCTTTCCTCGCATAGGTTGCTGGTCTCTCTCCCAGGCAGTACTGAGACCCCAGAACTCGTCCTTCCGTCCATCCAAGCTTTGTGATCGGAACTCGAGGCTTCTGGA